CCATTGTAAATATTTTATTATGGGAAAGATTATCCTCTTATATTTTATTACATTATTACTATTTATGTGTCAGTTATAACAAAATTTATTATATTTAAATCATTAAATACAAATAATGGTGACTAATTTGGTTAAGAGCATTGACCAACCATAATTGTCACCAAAATAATTAGTTACTTAAAAAAATGTGACTATTGCTTTCATTTTTTGTAGTGTAATCTGACCGATGTGACAACATGAGACACAAAACCAATATTTGTGCCCAATGTATATATTTTTGACATAAATCGTGCTGAATATATATTTTTGTTACTTATATCGTGCCCAATAATTTACATGTAATAAATTATTTTTTTATTCATTTAAAAACCCCACGCCTTTCATAAAGAAAAAGTAAATAAATAACCCCTAAACAAAAAAATGAAAGGAACAATTTGTGTCTGGCTGCTGAGAATAGGGTGAGGAAGGAACAATTTGAATTTGTTTATTTGGTCATTTGTGCACTTTTGAACCTTTGTACTATGTTTTCCTTGATGTGAACAGTGTTTTGACTACTATTGCAATGGCTACTATAACACCATATTGCTTATTGATTTACAGAATCTACTTCTACGTCATAATTTGGATGTCATGGATGTAGAGAAGAATATTTGTGAGAGTATTATTGGAACACTTTTACTTATGAAGGGAAAATCTAAGGACGGCATCAAATCTCGTAAAGACTTGGAAAATATGGGGATTAGAAAAGATTTGCACCCCAAAAAAACAGGAAAGCGTTTTTATCTATCTGCAGCACCTCACACTCTATCAAAGAAAGAGAAGGAAACTTTTTGTTGGAGGCTTGCCAATTTAAAACTACCTGATGGTTATGGTTCAAATATTGGAAATTGTATATCCTTGGAAGATAGTAAGATATTTGGACTCAAGTCCCATGATTATCACATGCTAATGCAGCAATTGTTGTCGGTGGCATTGAGGGGCCTTTTACCTAAAGGTCCAAGGACTGCAATTTTTCGGTTGTGTGCATTCTTTAATGAGTTATGCCAAAGAGTTGTAGATAGAAACAAACTAGAAAAATTGGAGGAAGACATTGTACAGACATTGTGCATGTTAGAAAGGTTCTTTCCTCCTTCTTTCTTTGATGTAATGGTGCATTTGACAATCCACCTAGGACGGGAAGCTCGTCTATGCGGACCGGTTCAATATCGTTGGATGTATCCATTTGAGAGGTAGTTTTCAATTTATCAAAACTAAACTTGAAATGAAATTTGTTTCAATTCTAACTCATTGATATTTTAGGTATATGAAAGTGTTGAAAGGATATGTTATGAATCGTGCACGACCAGAAGGGTGTATGGCTGAACGCTACCTAGCTGAAGAGTGTGCTTTGCTATGTAGCAGGTATATAAAGCAAGCTGATGATATAGGCTCCAGGAAGGCGCGCAATGAAGAGTTTGAAAATGATTTACTGATGGAAGGGCGTCCAATATCTCAAGGAAAACAAATAATTCTTACAAATGAGATGTTACAAAGTGCTCATCGCCAAGTGTTGTTCAATATGGTAGAAGTGCAGCCATATATAGAGTAAGTTTTTGTAACCTTTTTACTAATTTGCAACTTGCATGGAAGTGACATTTCAAAAAATTCCTAACACATTACTTACTATGTTAGGATGAACTTAGGCACTCAAGTAGACATCTATTAAAGAATGAAACTTTATTACAGAAAAAGCACGTGGAGTCATTTAGCACATGGTTGGATGCTAAGGTATTAAGAGATCTTATCATAATTAATGGATTTTGAATTTTATGTAATTGACACTTATATCTAAAACATGCTTACATTTTGGACAGATTAGGGCAGAGAAGATGGTCCACAATGTGTCAAATACTTTAAAGTGGCTTGCACGTGAGCCTAGTCGCTATGGAATTTCATATTCTGGTTTTATTATCAATGGTCTTCGGTTTCACACTAAAGAATCTGAGAAATCTCGTCAAAACAGCGGTGTTTCACTTGAAGCAACAACTATTTGTGTATCTAGTGCAAGAGACCATACACCAGTCACAGGGAAAGTAGCTTATTATGGGGTTTTGAGAGAAGTCATAGTCTTGTCATATCATGAATTTTATATTGCTTTATTCAAGTGTGATTGGGCAAGCATTGTGAATGGCATCAAACTAGATGATGGATTTACCTTAGTTAACCTCCACGAAGGACAAAGTCAGTTTGAAAGGGATCCTTTCATTTTAGCATCACAAGCTAAACAAGTTTTTTATTCTAGGGAGGATGAGACATCTAGTTGGTATGTTGTCATGAAAGCACCTCCCAAAGGATTTCAAGATTTGGAGATATCCGACGAGATGGAAAGTGGCACATCTACCCCATTTGATGTATTAGAACTTGATTATGATGATGATGATGAGAATGAACAATATGTGCGAATGGACGTCGATGGAATGTTTTTTGATGAGTAGTGTAATAAATCATCTAACATTGGATGTGAAAGGATAATATTAAATATATGTCTTCGCTTGGTGTATTTAACATCCTCTCTTTAAAGAGTGGTGATTTTTTAAATTTCAATGCCAGTTGATAGTATATAGGGATAATATGTCACTACATAGCTAAATCATGTACTTATTGTTTTCTAGGTTGGTTGCTGTCAAAGTCTTTTGACAATTATATCACAAGATGTCTGGTGGTGAGGTGAGACTAATTTTATTTTATTTTACTTTTCTTCAAAGTGAATAATACTTGGTACTAATTTTATTTATGTATTTGTGCTGTGAAGTCTTCTAAGATTGTTGTGAAGAGAACAAAACAAATCAAGGCAGCATTGGTTATTGCAACTGAACGTAGAAGTTCGGGAGTTCATATATGTAATGAGAGGATGAATAACAAAGAGAAACAACCAAGAGGTACACAACAAGATAATTCGCAGCAGAAAACTACAATGAGAGGACAGCGTGAAAATGAGGTTAGAACATCTAATTTGAGGTCCAATTTTTCATCTACTCTACCAGCCACTGATGTAGAAGAGCAACCAGCACAAGTTGAAAATGTTGCACAAATCAAAGAACAAAAAAAGAAGCGAGGTCCTACTAGAAGGCAGTTATTCCCCTAGGCAAAAAATCACGGTTAGAAATTAGTTTCAATCTCGGGGGACAACTATGTGGTCCAAATTCAGAGTCTTTTGCCTCATTTCTTGGGGTCTTAACCCGAGCGCATGTGCCTGTTGTTATGTCAAGTTGGAAGGACCTTAAAGAAAAAAACAAGGATGAGCTTTGGTCATTAATTCAGGTTTGCTTTTTTTTTTTCTTAATTATATACCAAACTGTTATTCGACCTGTTCTCTACTTGGAAAATGAACTGCTATTGTATTTGAAAATACAGCAAAACTACATAGTGGGAGATGAGCATAAAAACTTTACTTTTAGGATGATGGGAAAATATTGGAGACAATTTAAATCAAAAATAACAACAGCAATTTGTGAAGCAAGTAAAAGAAAGCATAAGGCACGTGCCATTGCCCTTGTTAAGCCAGTCAATGTAAAGTCAAAGGAAGATTGGGACAAATTTGTCAAAGAAAGACTTGGAGCAGAATTTCAAGTAAGTATTTCTGTCTTAGCAATAATTATACTTTCAGGTATTCTTATCACACCACTAAAAAAACAAAGACTAGCTACTGCTTTGAATTTGTGTGTATTATTAATTTTAGATACAATTAATAGCCCCCTTTAAGCATAATTTAGATACATTTCTTAAGTTTAACTGTCCCTTCATAATTTTCTTTTTAGCATTTTCCAACGGCTTCTTCCTTTTGATTTGAATTCATTAATTTTTTCAATTTGTGATGTCCAAGTATCCATTAATTGGTGTTGTCCACTGGTTTCTTCTTTTTGCTTTGAATCAATTTTTTGCCTTTCAATTTGTGAGGTCCAATGGTATATAAGAGGATTCATAAACATGGTTACATTTCAACAAAAAACCATTTTCACTAAGCAATCCCATGGATGAATCACACATAATCTTTAATAGGCATGGTGGGAGAATTAGTCTCCAAAAAAAATTCACAAGGCACTTTAATGAATTTGTATCTAAATAATTAGTGGCTAGTAGCCACATTTCTAGTAGTGTCAATTTCTAACTTTTTTTTGCCACTGATGTAACTATTTGTCTCTTGCAGAAACTAAGTGAAAAATTTAGAGCAATGAGAAAGCAGCAAAAGTACACACATACAATGAGTCGAAAAGGTTATGCCCGTATGGAGTATGACATGGTATGATTACTAAGCATACGACCAAATATTTAGTTTAATTTTTTTTTTTCAAGTAGATACCTAATTTGTTCTCATGTAGAAATTAAATCATCCAAATCCTGAAGAAATAAATAGAGTGACATTGTGGACAAAAGCGCATGAGAGAAAGGATGGTACACCAATTAACAAAGTTGTTAGCAACATATTGGTAAGACACCAAATGGAAATTTCAAATTAATATTATTTGTCTGTGTGACTTTAGTCAGTTGAAGCTGCTGGGTTTATTTTGTTGAAGTTGATGAGGTTTGGTTATGATGCATTAATTTTTATAAGAATATTTATTTCTGCGTTAGTGATATTAGTTTATTAAGCTTATGTGAATCTATGATAATTAATGGTCATTCTCCATCAAGCAACTGTCTACCAAAATCAACATCAATGGACCATCTTGCTAATCTAGTCCTGTAGTGAACTTGTGATATTCATAAAAAAGAGTAAGAAGTGTAAAAGGGAGATATAGATATAACTGGCGATATAGATATAACTGGCCAAAAGAAAAGGGTTAAGAGAGAATTTGCCATGGAAATTAAGAAGTGTATAGGGCGGTAAAGCAGAAATTCCCAACATCTCATTTCTCCCCTTTCTGCAGGCTTTCATTGAGATCAGGATTCTCATGGAGCCATGCATATGCATGTGGATGGATTATGTGAGCATATAAAACTTACTTAAGATCCAAGTGATCTTATAGACCCTTTTTAGAGATGGACCGGAATAGTTTCAATGGCTGCAAAATTGAAGTCCCCACTACAAAAAAATTGCTCATAGGACACTATTTTCTTTTGTGCTCTTTGAGCTTTAAAGGCACAAATATTTGTGTTTACTGTCAGTAGCCATGGTGCACCCACATTTTAAATGTCGGTCTCCTCTATAGGAGTTTCCATTGATTATAGAGCACAATTTTGTGATTCATGGCCAAAGTATTGAGCACGAATAGTCTCTATATGTGCTTTTATAATGACAAGTTGATTAGACGTTTTTACAGCTTCCACAAAAATTCTGAAATCGTGCTCAATAGTCTTAAATTTTGTAATATGTGTGGGGTATTTTAGTAAAGGCTTCTTCTCAGGCATTTGTTCCAACATGTTCTCTGCATAAAACAACAAATCCATCAATTAATTTCAAAAACTTCCAAAATCATATAGAAATTTGGAAGAATTAAAAGGAAATTCTGGAAGAGTAAAGAAGAAGCCACATTCGATCTCTCAGCTACCAAATAAAAAATTAGACAAAATTTTATATAATTATAAAGGATAAGCTATGAAACCCAATGAAATCAGAATGGTTGAATGAGAGGAAAGATGAGATGGTGGTGGGGTTTACCAGTACAGATGATAGATCTTTGGAGGAGAGGAGTGAGTTATAAATCTGGAGGTTCAGGTCTAGGTGTCCAGTTTAAAAACTGTGTTCTATGTACACAAAATTGGCACAATTATTTGTGTTTTATGTGAAAAGAGCACATATAAGACTTATTAGTGCTTAATGTTAGGAAGAGGGGCACAATACTGTATTTGTGTTCTTATGTTCATGCTTGTTGACCAGTTTTGTAGTAGTGCCCGTAACCATGGTAATGCCCTTCTTCATAGCAGCCTTACTTCTCTGATATAATTCGGGCACTTTTTATTTAATTTGTGCCATCTTTCTTAAAATTTGGAAATCGAACTGCAATCTAAGATGGGGAAGAAGAGAAATCGAAACAGAGGCCATGCACACCTTGCTGCATTTACAGATCAATGAAGATTGCGTTTATAAATTGTCCATGTTCATATTCTTTAGAGTTAAAGTTAAGGACATGACTATTGAAGAGATTGACATCCCTCATTTTCACATATTGAAAAGGAAAAGTTCCTGAGGTAGGGATACAAGAATATGGCTTCTTCTTTCACGGATGACATGATCAACAATTGAGAAGAAGTTATGACAATAACAAGTAGTAGATCTTCTGCACATCTACAACTGGAGACAGCAAAACAAGTGCTAGTGAGGAAACCTAATGTTAGATGGTCATGAAATGTACATTTACTATATAAAGTTTCACATACAAGGATCACAGTGCAAAACCACCAGTTATATATAAATGCTTAGGCATATGCACATAGAATCACATGAAGTAAAAGGTCTTGAATCAAAACCCGTGACTTATATCTGTTTGTTTTATATGTTATAGAAAGATATAAAGACGTGCAATGAGTCGAAAGAGAATCCACCATCGAGAAATTCTATACGAGATGATGCTATAGCAAGAGTTATAGGACCTGAAAGTCGTGGCCGAGTTCGAGGGCTTGGGTTTGGTGCAACACCCTCTAGAGTAGATGCAGTAATTCAAGGCAGCGGACGAGTGAAGGAACTTGAGTCCGTAGTGAAATCTCAATCTCAAAGGATGGAGCTAATTGAAGCCAAACTTGAAGCATTTATTAAAATGTCTCAAGAGGTATACAACTCTTAAAATAATTTACGAAGCATTTATTCATATAGTTATTTATTAAATCACAAAAAAAAAAAATTCAAGCTTCTCTTTAATTGTTTACAGCCTCACAATAAGAATGTGGAGGATATGATAAGTGCACATGCATGTACTCAAGTAAGTATATATTTTTCATGATAATTATAGCATGATTTAGTAAACTGTGAGATAGCTTATAATTTCTAAATTATTGTCCTCTTCCATTGTATTTCATATAGTCACAACAAGGAAGCCGTCATAATGTACAAGATAAAAGTTACAATGTGAATTCAAGATGTGGTCAAAGTAGCAATCTTGAGTATGGAAGATGCCAACTCTTACACTGGTACAATTTTGAGCTGGAGCAAGTTGTAGCTGAGGGACATATTGCCTCAACAGACCCAAGTGTTAAAGTTCATCATATGCCTCTTGGACGCGATTGTTGGAAGGTTTGGGTTGATGAAGTGCTTGATGAACAACTTAACTTGTATAGGCCCACAGATGAAGCACGAAGATATGAGAATGGAATTATGAATTCAAATAACTCTGTTAATGGGGGTTATGAAAATTCAATCAGGCAATGGGATGAATACAACAGGCAATGGGGTTTTCAGGATGCTGATGAGCTTCAATCAGTGGTTTCCAGCTACATTCACCATCGATGAGTATATTGGGATGAATATAACTTTGTAATATGTATGGAACTCCTTATTTATCTTTTGAATGAAAGCTTTGTATTCTGGGATGCCTTATGAATGTGAAGTAAGGAAATATTTATGTTTATCATAGAGCTTCTATTTATAGATAAATTATACTTTTATCAGGTAATTTTGATAATTATTTTAAAAAAAACATATATATTTGATATAACAACGCGCATTGCTTGTTGTCAAAACATAAACAACAACGAGCACAGACATGTTGTCATAATATTATAAGACGACACGCTCGGCACGTTGTTGTCAATCGCTCCTACAACGTGCGCGTGTTGTGGTTAATGTTGTTTACAACAAGCGCCAAAATAAACGACGACGTTCAACGCGTGTTGTCGAAAGCCCTACACCTTTTAACGAGATCGGCTTCAACAATGTGCGCCGCATGTTGTCAATATGTTTTCACAACGCACATTGCGCGTTGTGAAATGACTTTTTTCTTGTAGTGGCGGAAGTTGGACAGCTCCTTGTACTACTGATTGGTAGCATTGTTGGGCTTCACAAAAAGAGGCAACTCTAGAAAACTTTCCTGCACCTTATGATCACCGGTCTCTTTCGAGGTCAAAGCCGGCATCCCACAAAGCTCAGTGGGAAATCCTCCTTCAAAAAGGTTATTGGACAAGTCCATGTAGAAAAGATTAGGCAGAGAACCCAACCAACCGGGAATCGAACCGGTTATGAGGTTGTATGAGAGGTCCAAGGCTTGAAGATTTTTAAGCTTGGCAAGCCAGGAGGGTACTTGACCTGTGAATAGGCAACCACCAAGAGCCAAAACCTTAAGGTTAAGGAACCCATCTAGCTCTGCTAGGTTTTCATCATTAGGCACAGGCTCAAGTAGAAAATTCTTGGTCAAGACCAGAGTGGTCAGGCTCTTGCATCCCATTAGAATCCTAATAGCCCCAGTGGCATTTGTAAGGTTATTTATAGAGAGAGAGAGGAAGGAGAGGGACTTTAGTGCAACTATTTCAGGAGATATCTGGCCTGTGAGCTGAGTGCTGGCTAATCTGATTGCTTTAAGTGATTTGCAAGAGTAGAGACTTTGAGGTAACTCACCGGTGAAGTTGTTGTTGCCGAGGTCAAGCATGGTGAGGCGCGGGAGAGTAGTGAAATTGAAGGCAGAGAGGTCTCCAGTCAAGTGGTTGAACCTCAAAATCAGGGTGGACAGATTTGCGCAGTTGGTGAGAGATGGAGGTAGATGACCTGTGAAGTTGTTAATGGAGAGAAGAAGATTTTCCAACCTTGAAAGCTTGCCAATGTTGCTTGGGATTGGGCCTGAGAATTTGTTTGAGGAGAGCTCCAACATCTTGAGTTTGGTTAAGAGCACAATTCCTTTGCTAATGTGTCCCGAAAGGCGATTTCCAGGCAGATAGAGCTCTTCAAGATCAGCAAGGTCGAAAATCTCACCAGGGAGATAACCGGAGAGGTAATTGAAGCCTGCCCGGAATACTTGGAGCTTGGAACATGCTCCGACTCCAGGTGGAATTTCGCCAGTAAATTTGTTGACGGACAAGTTTAAGATGGTGAGGGAAGTGTGATTGTTACGATTGTTGCATAAAAAAGAGATGGGGTTGGAGCCAGCAAAGTTGTTCCTCCTGACATTGAAAGTTGTGAGAATGGCTGCAGCCGAGGCCGGGACAACAATTGAACCATTAAACAAATTGCTAGACAAGTCTAGAGTCTCAAGCCTGGTGGTTTTGGAAGAGAATACCGGTAAGTGGCTGGTGAGGCGGTTGTAGCTCAAGTCGAGAACATGGAGACTAGAGAGGGAGGAAAACAAGTCATTTGGGAGAGGACCAGAGAAGGAATTGTGGGAGAGATTAAGGTGGGTGAGATGTGTGAGGTTGGTGATAGATGGAGAGATAACACCAGATAAGCGTCTCCAAGGCAGCCATAGACGAACGACACGGTGATCATCGTCATCTTGCTGGCAACTTACTCCTTCCCAGGAGCAACAGTCAGTAGAAGAAGACCAATTCAATGGTGGCCTGAAAGCCAAGGACAAGAGGGAGGCACGATCCACTTGGGCACAAGCAGCAGAGGCAGAACAAGGCAGCAGAAGAAAACTGAAAAAGAGAAAGAGCTTGTTCAGGTTGGAAGAGGCACTTGCTTTGTTGTGTTCCATCTTAATTATGAACACCATCCCATTGAAATTGTTGGTACCAATCTTAAGTACATGCATGTAATGTTAAGTACATGCGTATACGTATATGTTAACACATGTTGACATTGACCAAGAAAACAGAGAGCCCCTTAATAGAAAATGGGAAAAGTACTTTGCCATATACTAGTCCGGAGGTGGCGCGGCAGCTCCAGCCGCGAGGCCTTGGTCTGATTGCTATCTTCTTCTGTTTTTTTTGGTTGGTCTGATTTTTCTTTTCTTTTTTTCATTTGTCAATATTTTTTTTCAATTTTCAGTTTTTTTGTTCCACTTCATTTTTTTATTTTGCTTCACGAGTGTATATTGATTTTATGATAAAACCATCATTTATTATTCAATTTCATATTTATTTTAAACTAAAGATAATATTATTTTATTAGAAAACAGAGAGCCCCTTAATAGAAAAGGGGAAAAGTACTTTGCCATATACTAGTCCGGAGGTGGCGCGGCAGCTCCAGCCGCGAGGCCTTGGTCTGATTGCTATCTTCTTCTGTTTTTTTTCTTTTTTCTTTTCCTGTTCTTTTTTCTTCTGTTTTTTTTGGTTGGTCTGATTTTTCTTTTCTTTTTTTCATTTGTCAATATTTTTTTTCAATTTTCAGTTTTTTTGTTCCACTTCATTTTTTTATTTTGCTTCACGAGTGTATATTGATTTTATGATAAAACCATCATTTATTATTCAATTTCATATTTATTTTAAACTAAAGATAATATTATTTTATTATCTAGGTTTTTCTAAAATTAGAATTTTTTTATTATTATTTTTATTATACATTATTATTCTCAAAGTATACATTTTTCATTTTTTGAAACAATTTTAGTCTTTAAAATATCAGAATTTTTTAAAACAATATTTTTTAGGATAGAAATTAGCAAAAATTATACTTGAAAAATAACTCACAAATTATTTTCCTCAAATTGACCTACCAGAAGTGTTTTCACTATTTTTGTTTTCTGAATCTGTTTTCCAATTAACATACCAGACCCATTTTTGAATCCTGAAAATGCAAATTCGTTTTCTCGTTTTCATTCTCATAAAATATTCTCAAAAAACATTCTCCGAAAACGTTACCGAACGGGCCCTATAACACATTTACAAGACAATCCAAGGATTAAAAATTAGCGCACAGAAAAAGGAAAGAAAAAAAAAAAACCTCTTCTCCTTTAGTAATCAGAACACACAACCCAACTTAAAAACTCAAAACCCCAATTTTATTTCAAGTCTGACAGACATGACGAATTCTATCGCTTTTGCTTTTTCTCACTCTAAAACTCAAAAAGGAATTTCATATGTCAATTCAATTCATGACTAATTATCACTCTAATCTCTAGTACATTTGTTCTATTGAATCCCTCTCTAACACCCTTTTCTTTTATTAAACAAAGTTTCTTAAATCTCTACCCCCTTTATTCTGGTAACACAATATAACTTAAATCAAAGACACTTTATTCAACTAACCCTGCTGCTTGTTTTCTTATATCACCTGATGAATTCCCATGCATTTGGATCAAAATATTTTCATGTCAAAACTTGAAGGTTTAAATACATACTTTCTATACCTACCAACTAATGGAATTTTCTTAGCATCAATTCTAAAACCAATGCTGAAACTGATGCAAAAAGATATCACAAAGACGACTGCAACAAGCAGCTTCTTCCTGTTATATCTTTGCGAAGCTGGATATACTGGTGGAAGGCTTTGAAGGCTTTGAGGGCAAGAGCGGTTTGGAGTTGGAGGGCCACATAAGCCTGGATTTCCTTCAAAGCTGGAGGTGGTAAAAGTATCAAACTGACTTCCGGTTGGTACAAGTCCCTGAAGATCGTTGTATGCCACATTAAAGAAAGAAAGGAAATTCAGACCTTTGAGAGAAGCAGGGATTTCACCAGATAGATGGTTATGGGAGAGATCCAATCTCTCTAAGTTGGTGAGGTTAGAAATTTGATCCGGGATGCGGCCAGAGAAGTTGTTATTGTTGTGAAAATGGACAAACACTTTCACTCACTCCCCTAATGATCTTGTTGTTGATGGACTTTGTGACACACACAAGGATGGATGAATCACACACACACACACACTTGAGAAACCAACCAAGCACAAAGTGACACAAGAATTTATAGAGGTTCAGCAATTGCCTACATCCTCTTGGTGATCCCCTTGAGAAATTCACTACAACTTTGGTTTACACAGAAACCCCCTTAGAACTCTATTCTCTCCCCAAGCTCTCTTTTCTCTCACACCCCTTGCTCAACACTTTGATACACTTGTGGACACTCTCACAACCCTTGGTGTTTCCCCCTTTGTGTCAAGACTCTCAAGACCCAACTCAGCTCCTATCTTGAACTGATTGCCCTCTCTTTCTTCCTCCCTTGGTGAGATAACCTCCCTTTGAACACAATAGCTCCCAGCTACTTGACAACTTTGAGATTAACCACACTTGTTGTCTTGCATCTTCTTTTCTTTTGTAGGCAGACCTTTGGACTTAGTAGAGGACTACAATTACTCCTTCACGTTCTTGCTTTCAGCTACTCACCTAAACACAAGGTGGAGAAGGCTCCATCTTTTCCTCCCACGTTCTCCCCTTGGTTTCCAGACTTGGACCACAACTTGGGCAGAACAAAGGCTAGGCATTGATAGCTGCAACTTCAGCCACCCTATATAGAGCCATAGGGTAGGTACTCCTTGAAGCAAGTCAACAAACCTCATTCAATGGTGTTCCAGCTTCTCTAGCACGTTGCTAGACTTCCTAGAACCCATAAAACTCCTTGGAAGCTCGAGGGATTAGGTAGGGAACCAACACATGTGAAAGGAAACTGAAAAACGCGTGGAAAAAACGAAACAGCACTGCGGGCGACTGGTCGCGGATACATTGCGACCGGTCGCTGATACCTTTTGGATACCTTGCGACCGGTCGCAGATACCTTGCGACCGGTCGCTTCCTGCGAATTCTTCAGACTTCGAATCTGCTTCAAAACGACCGGTCGCAAATACCCAGCGACTGGTCGCTTCCTCCTTCACTTGCATACTTAATGTGAGCCATTTTTCCAACAGTTATGACTAAGGTCCAACACATGAATAAACTTCAATTGGCCAATCTCAATGGGGATATTGCCACTAAGGTTGTTACTACCCAGATATATGGCTGGAGGCAGCTTGGAGAGCTGCTTGTATTTCTGATTATTCGCGTTGCTGGACATGACAAAGATAGGCAACTCTAGATATCCTCTTTCCACTTGATCAACAGCCTCTTTTGATGTCAAAACTGGCAACCCACAGAGCATTTTTGGAAGTCCTCCTGTAAACAGGTTATGGGACAAATCTATGTAGAAAAGGTTAGGCAGACTACCCAACCAATTGGGAATAGAACCGGTTATAAGGTTAAATGCCAGGTCCAAGACTTGAAGATTTTTTAGATTGGTTAGCCAGGTGGGCAGTTGACCTGTGAATTGGCAACCCTCCAGAGCAAGAAGCTGAAGACTCTGGAATCCATCTGGCTCTACTATGTTGTCATAATCTAGTAAAGTTTCGAACCCAAAGTTCTTGCCAAGGGTCAGAGTGATTCTTGCAACCCATGAGAATTTTAAGAGCCCCGGTAACATTTGTTAGGTTGTTCGAAGAGATGGAGAGATAAGCCAGGGATTTTAGTGCAACTATTTCAGGCAATATTTGCCCTCTCAGCTGATTACTGGCCAATCTAATAGCTGTAAGTGATTTGCAAGAGTAGAGGCTCTGTGGTAACTCACCCGTGAAGTTATTGTTTCCGAGGTCCAATTTGGTGAGGTGTTGAAGAGTAGAGAAATTGAAGGCATAGAGATCTCCAGTTAAGTTGTTGAAACTCAAATTCAAGATGGATAGATTTTTACAGTTTGTGAGTGATGGAGGTAAAGGACCTGTGAGGTAGTTGGAGTAGAGAAGCAAGCTTTCCAATCTGGAAAGCGTACCAATATGGCTGGGGATTGGTCCAGAGAATTGGTTTGAGGTGAGCCATAGGATATGTAGATTTTTCAGGCGCTTGATGTCATCGCTGATGACTCCCGAAAGATGATTGAAAGGCAGAGAGAGCTCCTGGAGATTAGCAGCGTCATAAATGTCATCCGGGAGAGATCCTGAGAGGTAATTGAAGCCTGTTCGGAAGACTTGGAGCTTGAAACATGCCCCAAGTCCGGAGGGGACTAGGCCAGTGAACCTGTTGAAGGACAAGTCCAAAATGGTGAGGGAAGTGTGATTGTCTCCATTGCTACAAAAAACAGAGAGGGGTATAGGACCAGTAAAGCTGTTGTAGCTAACATTGAAAGTGGTGAGAGTGCCTGCAGATACAGCGGAGACAATGAACGTGTTGTGAAAAAAATGGACAAACACTTTCACTCACTCCCCTAATGATCTTGTTGTTGATGGACTTTGTGACACACACAATGATGGATGAATCACACACACACACTTGAGACAACAACCAAGCACAAAGTGACACAAGAATTTATAGAGGTTCAGCAATTGCCTACATCCTCTTGGTGATCC